TGTTTCCCACAGCATTGTTGTTTTCCAGTATTTTGCCTTTTAATCTATATATATACATACATATATATATATACACACACATACACATACACTGTACATACAAACATACACCCATACACACATACATAGACACACACACAAACATACATACACACACACACACACAATACACACACACCCAAACATATATATAAAAAAAAAAAAAAAAAAAATACACCCCTACTAACACAAGAAATAAGAGCATCCATCCATATAAAATTAAAAACATAGACAGAGAGCATAAGCAAAATGCATATCCAGATTTTACATAAAGTAAAAATAGAGAAAAGCAACAATATAAGGCAGTAATACACTTCATTACAATTAGGAATTTTTTAAATCAGTACGTTTGTTCCATGCACACCGTATATATCTTATACAAAAATTATCAATCACTTTGGCAGAGTGGTCACAAATGGGAACAGAATCTCCACCAAGAATGAGTTGAAATTTATCATCTGTGTTCGAAGTTATAAAATTTGTCCATATTTCAGGATCATTAGAGAGAGAAAGATCTTCTTTAAGGATCATCAACTCTTCTTTTCTGATATTATCAAGAGCTTTACAGTTAAAACAAAAAGTGTTTAACATCTTCGACTTCACCGTTTTTACATAGCGTGCAAAGACCTGAAACATCTTTAGACCATTTTGAAGTTTTACAGTCGAGAGGTAGAGTATTAGATCGAATTTTAAACTTAAAACTTGAATTATTAAAATTTATTTTGTCAAGTAAATATTTTTCTAATTTTGGGTATTTTTTCAATTTTGAATATTCTTGACGTGAAGGTTTTTGACTTACATTATTTGACCAATCTGATTTGTATGATTCAGACACACAGCTTTCAACATAGTTTACAGAAAAAGGATTAAAAGCATAATTTACAGCATCAAACACATGATTATAAAGATCTACATCTGTACATTTTGCAATTATATCAATACAGCAACTATGAAACTTAAATTTAAGTTGATCAAAATCACAATTGAGTTTTAACATGGAATGCAGTACAACATTCGGCCATCTGTAGTTTTCCATGATGATCAAACGATTATACAATTTTGCTCTTGCAATCTCATGTAGTTGTGAGAGGAGAGCCCATCCAAGATCTCCATAAAGGGCCTCTTGAGGAGTGTATCTTGGGGCTTTAAGCAAGAAACAGGCCATTTGTGACTGTAGCTTTTCAAGTTTTTCATTATCATTCTTTGATTTAGCGTACCAAACGCTACATGCATAGTTTATGGATGGGAGCGCGATGGTCTTCCACAATATATTACCGTAATATATACGGTTAAAGTTATCCAGGTTACCTATAATACCTTTAATATATGCAATGAGTCGGTTTCCCTTCTGAATTACATACTCATAGTGAGTATGTTCTTTTAAATTTGAAGAAATGTAGACTTCTAAATATTTATAGGAGTTAACCTCTTTTAAAAAACTGTCACCCAGTTTCCACTTTTTATTTTTATTTAAACGTTTTCCCACGACCATAATATTTGATTTATCATGGTTGAATTCTAACTTCCATTCTTTAGCAAAACTATCAGCAATTTCTAACATTTTTGTCATTTCTTTTTCGCTGTCAGATATTAAAATAACATCATCAGCCCAAAATACCATTCATTCTAACACCCAAATTGCTTTCACGAAGAAGTTTAGCAAATTCATTAATAAAAATAGAAAATAATACTTGCGAAAGTACATACCCTTGCTTTACCCCTTTCCCAATATCAAATTCATCAGTCATGAATTCACCCATTCTTACTTTTCCTTTAACGTTACCATAAAGCAAACACATACATATTACAAATTACATAGCAAACTGTACTATAATTCGATGTGCCATAATTGGACTTTACTGGACAATATATAAAAAACTACACCATAACTGATATATGTCTACAGTACTGTAAAACATTATTTAGCATAGGAAAGAGCTTTCTAATACCAAACACGACAACTTTTGGGAGTTTGGTTTTTTTTACTTTTTGTGTCACCTGACTTTATTCATCGGCCTCTATCTCTGTAAAAATGTATTATTACATATAGGTGTAATGGAATTATATGTGTCTATAATTCCCTTTGCATTGACACCAAACAAGACCGTGTTATATGTGGTACGTCGGCCATCTTGAAATTCGTAAACTTGATAAAAAAAAATGGTACCAAACTTGTTTGAATTCAGCACACCAAAAATTATAAAGTTAGCCAATAAAATCTATGGATGGATTACATAGCAAACTGTACTATAATTCAGAAAAACAGTGTCATTGCTCTTCCTGGCTACGTTCAGTCAGTGATGGTTTGACCAAATTTATCCAATGCAAACACACCTTAAGAGATACTACAATTTGTCACAATTTTTGCTGGAACATGAACAGATGAGCATGTGGAGCTAAAAAACACTCAATGATATGCAATTCAAACAAGAGAGATCGCTCACCGGTCCGCGTGTTCCTCCACACTTAAAAATACGGTACAAACGCAAGTTATTATATTGGGTTGTTTTGGAAGAGCTAATAAGATATAAATTTTAAAATAATTAGAATGTTTATTTGTACAAAAACCAAATATTATTTAGAATGCTCATTCGTACAAAATCTTAAAAATAAAAAAAAAAGTTGAACTTAACCGACCGCACCATCCATGCGATGTTCCCTATTAGTGGTAATGGCAGCAATGTACAGTTCATGCTGACACCCCTGCTTTTTTTTTTGCTTTTTTTTTTGTAGGTGTAGTGGGAACCTTGGGGTCCGATTTAAAAAAGATTGATGAACGTTTGTTGGAAACCACCTCTAGTTTATGTGTACAAAACTTCCTGCACGTCTGTTCAAAACTGGCGACGCTGGACGCTTTTTAAATTTTGGTAACAAGAACAACAGTGAGGCTTGTGTGGACCCAAAAAACAGAAGTAGAGAAAATAAACCAATATAATGTAAGTTCTTCCAGGGAAAAGTAAATTCTCCCTGGTTCTACCAGCAGCTCCACATTGCATAGATTTATCATATATAAGTGCTTTATTGACAGTTTGTTTGCTCATCTTTGTGGTGATGAAATTTTTTCATCATACTGATATATGCTGTCAATAATATTTAAATATCTTGGAGAAGCTGATCTGTAATTAAACAAATTTTACAAATGTTGTCAACATGTTTTATACAAAGAGAAATTTAATGCTTTAGCCTAATGGCCTATGAAAATTTAAGTGTATACCAGAGAGATTAATTTACATAAATAATTAAATACCCAATTATTGTCTGCAATGACCACTTATATATTTATTTTTTTTATGATAAATTAAAAACTTTTCAATAATGATGATATTTTATAAGTGTTTCACTGTCATCCGGGATGTAACTTACAGGTATATCAAAACAGAGGCAAAGTATAGTAAATAATTATATTTAAATCAAATAAATTAAAAAGTCAGTATTTCCCTTTTTGGATTCGAAGAACAACAGTTCTTTTCAGAACTATCTATGTTGTGTACCTTTGAACAACATATTTAAATTTTTATAAATAAATGAAACATTATTTTAATCAAACAGAATGGCTTTAATTTTTAATTCGAAATATCAATGATTGAACTTTACATTCAAAATATATTTACTAATATGCATGAAATTAATTGTAGTAATAATGGAATATATATAAATGCCATACATCAATTTAATCTATGTTGATTGGAATAATTGGTTTAAAAATGTAAAAAAAATTTTCAAGGGTTTAAAATGTTATTTTGGGTTGTTTCTGTGGAGCACCATAATCAAATAGTACAGATCCCTTGGTATAAGTATAATTTATAACACTAGAGCATCCAGGAAAATCTTGTGGTGGTGAATCATTTTGCATGACACTATCTACCAGCATGGCTGTGCCCACCAGACAGGTGTTTCTCGCGCTTGATATTGGGTATTACCTGGGGAGAGAAATCTACAGGTATTAAACTTGTTTTCATACTATATTAAATGTGCAATGATGTTCATTGATTCAGATTATTGAAAATACCAAAGCAACTACAGAGATTATACTTGGTCCTGTTAAATACTAATCTATTGGGCTATGACATATTACATCTAGTACCGTAAAGATGACATTATTGCACATTATTACTTTTATTACTTGATATCAAGAGCAGATATATGAATTCATAGAGTAAAAAAAAATGGACAGTTGCAATATATTTTAGTAATGACCCTTTAGTAATGACAAAAACAGTCTTATATAGTGCATAATACAATAATTAATATAATTATTACAATTGTAGTAGTGACTTTGATAAGTCACAGGGTCAAACACAGGTTTGACCGTTTGAATAATAGTTATCATAGAGGTGGCAGAGTTCTTGACCTCATGATCACTCGAAACCAAAGCATGAATTACCCAATTCATCATTAGCCTGAAAAATTGACCGAAGCAGTTGCTGAAGCCGTTGCTAATGTAAGAAAATATTCAACAAAACAGAAAATTGTCCTACTACAATACCGTAAAACATCGAATTGAAGCCCCAGTAGGCTTAATCTTGAGATGAAGCCCATCTCGAATTGAAGCCCCCTTAGTTTGTAAAATTTTCCTCGGGATAGTACAGTACATATACTGTACATGAATTTCAGAAAACAAAATAAATTAAATACAAGCTTTGTTTATACACTAGTTTAGGTAATTTAGCAAGTTAGATACACTCCATGATACAGAGGCCTTATTTATTGTTTTATAGTACAAATTCACAAAACTTACAGCATTCATTTGGAAAGAAGCCCCCCCCCCCCAACCACCTATTCACTTTGCAAAAATAGTTTGGAAAAGAAGCCCATCCAAAGTTCGCCAAAAAAAAAAACAAAAAAAAAAAAACAGGAACTACAATTCGAGGTTTTACGGTATCTTTTAAGCTCCAATGAGTAACTCTAGGGGTACCTTGCTGATTGTGTGCTTTTTCATGGCAGACTGTACATTACTGCCATTACCAGTTTTATACAGGTTGTATGGGTGGCTCGGTTGACTTAACCGCCGTCCATGCAACGGTTTCATGTGATGGTTCTAAAGCCCCTGCCCTCATCCAATGCTAAACAGGCGTTGATGGGTATCTACATAGATTTAGAACCATATAGGCCGTGTGTTCAAATCGCATTGGTATTTAATTTAATTTTCTTATTTGATAATTTTTTGCAAATTTTAAGACATTTTAATTTTGTACAAGTGAGCATTCTAATTATTTAAATATTTCTCTTCGATTTTGAACTCTGATGAGAAGCCAAAGGCAGTGAGTATGAATCGCGTCTTGTATTCAATTGTTTTTATTTTTAAAGACATTTTAATTGTGTACAAATTATTTGGAATTTTTTTTATGAGGAATTCTAGAAGTACTTGGCTGATTGATTAATTAATAGATCTTTTTTTGTGAAGTGCGCCACCAATACCAAGGACAGTGCCATTACCACTAATAGGGCATGTCGTATAGATGGCGCGGTTGGTTAACGATATGTTCTGCTGAACCAAAGGTTGTGAGTTCGAATCGCGTACACTCAATTTTTTTTTCTTTTTTTCCTATTTTAAGACATTTTTCCTTTCAATTTTAAGACATTTTAATTTTGTACAAGTAAACATTCTAATTATTTCAATATTTCTATCTTATTACTGTAGCTCTTCTAATTCTTTTTGTCAAACAGCTCTCAAATATCTTAGAATGTTCATGTTGTTTAAAAAAAACAAAAAAAAAACACCAAGGTGAGATTCGAACTCAGGACCTTCGGTTCCTTACAAAACCATGTTAACCGATCGTGCCATTTATATGACGTATCCTGTTAGTGGTACTGTAGTAATTAATGACTATTGGTCAATCTCTTGAAATGTGGTCAAATCATTCAAGCATCACTGGCATTAGCTCAGTGGCGTTAGCTAATCTGGGGTCTGCAGGTAGCGTTAATAACGCCAAGGACGTGGCGTAGAGAGTGGCCTTAACAACGCCACTGTTTAGTTCACACACAAAGGCGTACGCTACGCCAGGCTTAAGCCAGCCTTACGCCGTCTGTGTGAACATAGCCTTAGATTCTTCCTGTGGCTGGGTTGTTCTGGGTTGTAATCCCATATGGTAGATTAATTAAGCTGTCATCTACTCAAGGCTCGACCACATTGATAACCTTCAGAGGTTTCATCATCAGCTATTGTCGGTCTACTTTTGGATAAATGTTTCAGGATGTCGACGCTATCTTTTTCTCTTGCTGTGTTGCACCATTTCACTCTTCCCCAATAACTATTGATCTCATCTCTTAATCTTTTACGTTGTTTTCCCTTGTTCGTTTTGCCATCCATGGGGTCTGTTACTGTTTGTATTTGTTTGTACTCCTGCTGACTCAGATCAGCCAAGTTCAACAGCCAGAATGAAAACCATTGAGCCAAACCGCATTTTTACCATTATTGTTATTAAGATTAATAATAATAATATATTTATTTATTTATATAGTATTCATTTTCCTAATATTCGAATGCAAAGAATTAACTTTTCAAGGTAAACCACCACAACACAAAATCCACCCAACCTCATATTGCCTGAAAATAAAACATGCATCATACATAGGAACATTGACGCTCGCAGGGTTCTGGTTATGAAAAGCTAGCACATTGATTCAGTAATATTTTTAATGATTGATATGCATACCAACTTAAATTACATTCATTAACAAACAGTATATATAATTTAACACCTGAGTTTTACGAACGACAAACCTCTGTAGTTGAGTCGTAAACTGTTTACAAAAAAAATCATGCGATCAATTCAGGGTTTCCCCATGTGCGTTGATTGATAGCCAGTGAGTTGTTAATCAACATCTTCCTACTCTAGAGTAGTCGTGTAACAAAAGTATTTTGTTAGCCTACGTTGTTTTTTCCACTTTGACTTTGCCTAAACTCGAATAATTTCTAAGTTGAACTTATTTTACAATGCCAAATTGTTTGTATTTTCTATTAATTAACAATCAGTACGTTGAATATTATCCAAGTTGAACAATTTTTCAATGGCATTTTGGATTCGACTTAATAGGCTAGTTCAACTGTACATGTATTATATTAATGGACGTATATGAACATGTACTTTGTATACATGTCAATTTTGTTTCTATGCTTAATTTTCTTGTATTTTTACTTTAGTATATATATTTTACTAGTTTTGTTAAGATTCAATTTGTTTTAGTTTAGATGTTTGTGCGACAAACCACCGTATGTGGCGTATGTCAATAAATTATTATTATCATAACACTTTTACCATTATTGTTATTAAGATTAATAATAAACTTTTCAAAGTTTTTTTACACAAATTTTATTTTGAAAAAGATACAAGATGCGATTTTCTCACGATGAGGTAGATTAGGCTTTTCACACTACTAATAAAGTGATGCATACCTGACCTGAATGCGGCTCGGTAAGTCTAGGAGAATTAGGCCAGATTTCCTCGAGAATAGATGAAATTATACAATTATTTTTACCTTTCAAAACTCCTTGATCAATATGTTCAAATTTAAGGAATAACTTGTGCAGATGTTGAATTTTTTATTTGGGCTGCAGACTCAAAATATATTTATTTTCAAAATTATTTATAAAAATTAATTATAAAAATGAAATAAAATAACACACACACACACATATATATATATATATATATATATATATATATATATATATTTAATTCACAAAACAAATAGCTAAGTTACGGCAGTAAAATTTTTTCATTAACAGTAAAAAATATTTTTAAAATGTTGATAATAGTGTAGGATATGAAAAGGCTAAAGGCATTCCACATGTCACTGGGGAAAAGAAAATTAAAAAAACAAAATTGTTTTTTTTGCTCATTCCAAAACCTCCACTGTTGGGCTATTAGTGAAAAAACAATTTTGAAAATTCTTTAGAGGAAGTAAACTTACTTTTGGTTTTTCTCGATGGGTATCCACAGCCTCAATTGGCAATGGTATCGTTTCAACTCGGCAACCTAACAAAACACCAAGAAAATGCACTTAAAATCTAAATATTACATTCTGTGCATATTTAGCATAGATGCTACGGTATGCAATAGATTGACTTTTGCTTCATAGAGGCTAATGCACTAATGCAGTTATCATCTTTTCATTTAACACTAAATAATTATCTTTTATATAAATGAATCTTGTATGAAAAAGAGCCAAAATCTTCATTGAATAATACAAAATAAAAAGAATAAACTTGTTCTGTCTAGATTTAGGCCATCAGCCTAAGCAGCTAGGACTGAGGGGCTGGGTCAAATGAATACAGTACCCAAATGAGATTAAATTATGCAAATGATAGGGAATTACCCAAATGAAAACCCAAATGATACGTAATTAATCAAATGAAAACCCAAATAAATTGTTAATAGTCCAAGGTATGCCAAATAACAATTAATTAATTAATTTTTTTCTATATTCTGTACAGCGTTTTTTTGAAATAATTCTATTATTATTAATTTCATCGAATTGAAGCCCCTCTCGAAAAGAAGGCCATGTAGTCTAGGAAAAAAAATCTGGAAAAAATGACGTTAGGAGGATTGGAATGTGAAAAGCTGTCATCCATTCCAGATATATTTATTGACACCTTCTGGTCGCCCCTAGCTTGGATGACACTTGCATTGAAACCTTATGCAAATTAGGGACATTTATTTAAAAATGGCTGCCAAGAATACTTGAAATGTACATAATATGCACATTTCAACATGGCAACGAACAGGGGGTTCCCATGCACCACCAGGATATATTTTTTTAACTAACATTTTTGTAATCCTCGAAGTGTCTCATGAAAGAATTTTGATGTTCCTATAAAAAAAAAAATTCCCATGGAGTTGTTTGGTGGCCATTTTGGTGGCCATCTTGGTGGCCATCTTGGATTTTCAACGAAAATCATAAATTTTTATAATTCATTGACTAACAAATAAACCTCTAAATGTATATAGTAAGCAGTGTTTATGTTCTTAATACAAAAATATTGACTTCACATTTACATTTGACGGTCATATTGGCGGCCATCTTGGATTTTGAATGAAAAACATTAATTTGTATATTTTAATAACTAAAAATCATAATTAATCAAGTAAACCTCTAAATTTACACAGTAACCAGTGTTTATGCTCCCAATACAAGTACATATTCACCCACGTCAAATTTCCTCAAGTTCTCTGCCTTACTGGCAGTGACCATTTGCTTCTTATGCCTTAGGGTTTAATAAGACAAACCTTATTGTGGGGAACATTCCAAAAATACACCAGAATATTTAAAATCACTTGAAGTTAGTTCGGACATAAGTTGTCTCTGCTATGAAATTAGGAGGAGGGCTTCCATACAGCCACCAACTGCAAAAGTTTTGAGAACATACTCCTGTCAAATCTCTATGGATGGTGGTTTCCTCTGACTGCTTCCGTGGCTCCTTGATGACAAAATAGTTTGTGAATGGCTGGTTGATAGGGGTAACTTTTTTACCAGTACTTGAGACAAAACCACCAAATCCTGGAACAAGTTGTTTCTCTACGCTCCCCAATGCACGTGCCAGTAACCAGATATGATACTATCAGATGCAGTTTAGCGCAAGCAGAATGAATACAGCTCACTCAAACAGTTATTGGCCCAACACGACCATATATACACTGATGCCATGTTCTTGGCCATATCCACTCTCATGAGCGCATCTTGCTTCATGCATAGACAGTTAGCGTCCGGAGCATTTTCTCCTAGTTGCTGGCTCCAAACTTGGGTTTCACCTCCTGTACTATGATTCTAACACTGTTCAACACCTTTGAACCAAGAATGTTTGTCATAATTTTGTTCAGATTCATCATCAGGTCTTGACATGTATCCACTTCCCTCACTCCTCAGCTCAACAGCATATTTCATCTCGAGTGGGACAATCTGAACAAAATTATGACAAATATTCATGGTTCAAACTATGTTGAACAATGCTGGTGGTACAAGAGATAAAACTCGGGTTTGAGCAAAACGTGCTCCTTGAAAGGGGATATGATCGTGACCCGGCATCAGTTCAGGTTGTGCTCGGCCCAAAATTTCAGTGTAACAAAGTGTATTCAAGAGTATCATGTCTGGTTACTTGCATATTGGTAGCAGCGGAGAGAAACAATTTGTCTCAGGATTTGGTGGCTTTGTCTCAGGTGAAAAACTCTTCTGAAAGTTAACCATCACCAGTATTACCCCTATCTACCAGCCAGGCACAAAATATTCAGTCATCAAGGATCTATGGAAGCAGTGAGAGGATGCCATCATGGAGATTGGTCAGAAGTGTGTTTCAAATACTTTCAAACTTTGTGGCTGCAATAAAGCACCCACAACCTATATCCCAACTTTCAGCATGTGAACCATCAGCAAGTTTATAGGCCCATATTCTGTTGCAACAAGCCTTGTGATTTTTCTTAGATTATTATGTACCACTCTGGTAAATTTTATGATGATGCGTTTTCTGTGATGTTGCTAAAAGGCAGACAAACACAGTAAATGGCTACAGTAATAATAAAGTCTGTGTAAAGCAGGTCCTCCATTAATTATAGTCATTTAAAGAATTACATGATTTTATAAGGGATTTTCTTTATAAGAACATCCACAAAAAAGATTCATTGGATGTAACAGCATGTGTAGTACAATAATAAATGTACAGTAGATTTATTGTGAAACTAAACATTGCATCTGACTGGTGCTCATTGGTGTGGATAGCATTTGTGAACAGGGAGCTTGAATCACATTGGCCAGAAAATCATGGTCATTGAGTTTGATCTTTAGTTTTTAATTTGTAGCGTAGTTGGACTAACATTATTTTTTAAAATATTTTTTATACCACACATTAGGCCTATACCATTAAAAAGCGCCTTTTCACCAGGATCAGAGCATTTTGTATTAAATTTTGACTTCTCATATTTTTGTAGTTTCAATGTCTCAAACCTGCTTAAATCATAGGTCATGGATCTCAATCAATTCCCAATGACAACATTATTCTGAAAAAATTGGTTATTTCTTTGTTTGTATAATATGGGTGAAATGGTATACGGATAATCAATGTTCACGGACAATGTGGCCGCCAATATAGCTGCTAAAATGGCTGGGCAATGTATTACGAAACCAATGTTTTGTATTGAGAAAATAAACACTGTTTATACAAATTAATGGTTTTCATTGACAGTCTAATATGGCCGCCAAATGTAATGAGAAGTCAATTTTTTGTATTGAGAACATAAACACTGCTTACTATATACATTTAGAGATTCATTTTATTGTATATGATTTAATAAATTATGCAAATAATTGATTGCTGATTTTTCTTTAAAATCCAAGATGGCCGCCAATATGGCCGTCAAATGTAAATGTGAGGTCAATGTTTTGTATTAAGAACTTAAACACTGCTTACTATATACATTTAGATTAATTTGATTTTATATGATTTTCAGTTAATAAATTATGTCAGATTTGACCTATGACCCTTTGCTTTGCGGGAAATTTTCATATCTCCACAACTACAGTTTTCAGTAAATTTATATTGGTTTCAAATTGTTTCTATTCATGGTAAACCAAAGTAATGCAACGAGAACATTTCAAAAAGCACACCTCCATTCATATACAAATTTACTAAAATATTCAAATTTATGGAAAAATATTGTGTTTCTATATCTTTGCAACTGCTGGTTGGAGAAACTTGATTTCTTTTTCAAATTGTTCAGAACATGCATGTTTCTATTTGTTCTAATACAACATTTTTTTTAAATTGACAGAAAACACCACACATGACCTCTGACCCTATGTATTACAGGATTTATACTTTATGACAACTGTCCATAGAGAATTGGTTTAAAATGGTATATCATCTTTAAATACATTTTTCAATTCACTTGGTAATGAATAATTTTGTAAAAAAGTGTCACTTGAGATACTCTCTTGACACCTGACCCAGCAGGTCACATTCTCCCTGAGGAGAATTCCATAATGTTGCAGCTGCCAATGCATTTTGTGTTTACACCTACCAGGTACCCACTTGGCCTGTTGGGAGGCAAATTAAAAACAAATATTGTAGTAGCCTAGCTGTAGTAAAAAAGCTATGGGCCCATTCGAGTGAAAAAAATATCCGTGGCGATTTAGCAGTTAATTCACCGGTACACTCTTTCTAAAACCGCTCGGAGACTAGTCTAATTACCTTACCATCTGGATTATCCGCATCAATTTTGACTACCAAATTGCTGGGTAGAAAACTGGAGGCGATGATAAATCAACCTTAATTGTTTTTTTTAATGTTTTGTCCACAGCCCAGCGTAAAATTAATTATAATTACACGTATTTACCGTGAGCTAAAACTTGAGTGCTCGGCGCGATTACCCGGTGAAATAAAAGGAATACAGTTGGTGTTTTTTGCTCAAACGGACCCTATGAGAACAACAAGCTAAAGCTGAAAATCTTAATGTTATATGCACATCAAAGATACTTACCATAAGCTACAGGTGTTAGTTTGATTACTGTATGGAGTGGACATCTTAAATAAGGCAATTCATCTGTTGTTTGAAAAAAGGAAAAGTCACTGTGGTTAAAAATTACACACATTTTATTGTGTTCAATTTCTAAACACATCAAGCACAACAAGATTTTTATGTGATTTTAGTTATATCACACAAACAACATTCTTGAAATACATTAAACTTCAAAATTAAAGACTTACCATAAAAAAAACCCTGCTAATATTAACAAGGAAGCAAAGCAAACATTAACTTTAGCGTTACAGCTAGTGCTAAATTGGCAGCCTAGCCGTCATGTCATAAAGCATTGACAAACTCTCCTACCATGGATACTCACTAAGCCGACGCCTAGTTTTACTCGAAACTTTTAAATCAGGATTTGTATATATATGTGTATGTATACATATATACATATATACATACACACACACATACATACACACACACACACATACACACACCCACACACACACACATACACACACACACAAGATTTAAATGATATATTAAGTCCATTAGGGGCAAGTGTTCCAAGCTTATATATAATACGTTCTTCAGTGTTTTTTCTCATGTTATCTGATCCATGGCACAAAGTCAGTCCGGTGATTTGAATGTCCTTGAGAGAGTGATTATTGGTAGAAAAGTGGGCGGCAACTGGAAGACCAGGTAGTTGGAGTTCGATGGATCGTAGATGCTCAGTGAAGCGGTCACTCATACGCCGTTTGGTTTCTCCAATATATAATAGTTGACATTTAGTACAAATAATAGCGTAAACTATATTACAGGAAATACATGAAAAAGTGTCTTTTATTCTGAATGTACTAGCTGGTCCGTGGATGATATCGGATGAGCGCATGTTTTACATCGTGGTCGATTACAAGCAGTAGTAGATCCAATAGGTGGTTGGGTATGTGAGGATTTAACATCGGAATGAACTAGAGTGTCTTTTAAATTTTTATCTCGGCGGTAGGCATGTATCGGTGGTGATGTGAATACATTACTGGTGGTTTCATCTGATGATAAAATCGCAAAGTTCCTGGTTATTACTTCGGCTACTTGTTTCATTATCGGATGATAGGTTAGTACTAGAGGTATTCGGTTGGTAGATGTGTCGCTTTTTCGAGGTTGGAGGGCAATTTCCCGTGTCATTTGGTTAATTTTGTTAAGGCAGCCGTCGGTGATGTTGGTAGGATATCCTCTATTAAAAAAGGACATCATTTCTTCGGCGCGTCTTTGGAAGTCATCGTCAAGTTTACAAATTCGCCTGAGTCGAACTTATTGCGAGTAAGGGATAGAAGAGTCTTTGCACTTGGGTGGATGTGATGAATCGTAATTTAAGTATGTGTGCGCATCAGTAGGTTTATAGTGGACGGTGGTAGATAGTGCGGAGCCCTTGATATGGACATCAATATCTAAAAATGTAACACTGGTAGGTGAGATCTCATGGGTGAACTTGATGTCTGGGTGGAAGGAGTTCATGTAATTAATGAAATTGGTGAGCTCCTCATATGAGCAAGATGCAGCTCCCACACAATCATCGATGTAGCGTTTGAAAAGCAAAGGTTTGGTACCATCGTATTCGTCGAATATTTGTTTCTCAAGGTAGCCCATGAATAAACAAGAAAAACTGGGTCCCATACGGGTACCCATACTCACTCCAGTAAGTTGTCGGTAGTATGATCCATTGAAGGTAAACGAGGCAGTGGTCAATACTAATTCTGCAGGCGGATATATATATATATATATATATATATAAAGAAGGGGTGTCCACGTTTGTTTCAAAACATATGTTGAATATAATATAACGTAACAGTATAGAAACTCAATTAAGATGTTGACATTAGAAACACTAACATTTATTTGGCGAATATTTTGGCTACTCCTGTAGTCTTTGTCAACGCTTGACATAAAATGAACATATTGAGAAAGTATCTTGGCAGTATACAATTTGAGAAACAATATGGTAGTTAAGTCAAAGCAAGTCGGCATACGTCTATAAAGGATTAATGATATATGTACAAATAAACAGTGATAAGGGTGGACGAATGGAAAAACTTGACGTCATTCAAAAGCAAGAAGGACAAACTGACTGGGTGAGCAGCTTAGTAACTGTCAAGAAGAAGAATGGCGACATACGGGTATGCCTCGATCCAAGGGATCTTAATCGTGCGATAAAACGGGAACACTTCAAGTTGCCATCACAAGAAGAGACCATGGCAGAGTTCAGAGGAGCAAAAGTGTTCAGCAAGCGAGATGCCTCGTCTGGCTTCTGGCAGATTAAGTTGGATGAAGAGATCTCTAAATTAACCTGCTTTATCACGCCATTTGGAAGGTACATTTATTGCTGCTTACCATTTGGTTTAAACATGGCACCTGAGGCATATCATCATCGCATACATCGACTCTTCAAAAAGATTGTTGGTGTCAACACGATGATGGATGACATAATTGTGTGCATGGGCGTCGATGAGTGGGGGACAGGGGGACGCATCCCCCCACTTTTCAAAGTAGGGGATCATCATATCGATTGTCCCCCACCCAACTTTTACCAATCTTCTATAATTAAATCCCCATTTTTAAAAGCAAATGGAAAGAAAAAAATTATGCATGGCTCATGAATTTTGTCTGTTCTAAGTGCAGTACGTATTTTCCGGACCAAAACCGAGTAAAAACGCAATTGTTTATACATTTCGTAACCATCTCAGAAACCACTAGATCGATTTTATGGGAGCAACAGTTATCAGAGGCTAAATTTATTGTCAAAACAATGTGCTGAACGTTGTTAAAATTGGAAGCGTGTATACTTATTAGGCCAATATTTTTACAAACTCAAAAGTGCACAATTTCTACTACAAACGATTTATTCCTTTTGTATATTATTATGACCCGTATGTTATGCTAGTGTTTAATATTATCTACATACATAGGATTACTGTTTTTCCTAATTTCCAAAAATTATAATTGTCAATTGAATTTTATATAGCCATTATTAAACAATTCAATTATACAGCCTTTTGACACAGATTGTCTATCTATTTCGATTAAGTGATAGGCCTACCAAAATTTTACAAACTCCAGTGTTACGTTGACGCAATCTCGCAATGACGTCATAATAATCAGTGGCGGATTCAAGTGGGGTCGAGCTGACCCCAAATTTTTCATAAATTTTCTTTCCTCAGCCCCAACCATGGTGGGGCTGAGGTGATCTACTTTCCCTGTTCCCCCTCAAATTTGCTTTCCTGGAGCCACCACTGATAATGATAATTTAAGTAAATCACCTTTATGTTTGTGAAATCAAAATGCTAACTAATGTTTTTGTGTGCTCCCTCCCTAGTCCTGTTTGATTGTAAATTAGACGGTATTATTTTCACTCACAATAGTGTAGTCGCAATATTACGTACACAAAAGTGAAATTAGTCAAAAAAGGAGAAAAGCAAAAACCTCTTGATTGATTTTAAAAGTACTGTACATGCAAAAAGACTAGAAGAATGACTGTTTTAAGTTTATCTTATTTGTTTTTCATGGTTCGAATTTTGAATATGTTACAAGCTAATCAGTAGATAATAAATCATTATTTTTATGAAGGTTAGTTTGCACGAAATACATAAGCGAGCATAATTATGACTAAACGGATAATTTTAAAAACTTTTTTATGATGAGTATTTCAGTGGCAGATTCAAAAACATTTTTTTTTTTTTTTCGAATTTAAAAGTGGAAAAAAAAAATTTAAATTATATTCAAATTGAGTCTGAGAGTGCCATTTCCGACCAACTAGAGGTGCCATAATCATAAATTTTCTTACCTAAGCCCCAACCATGGTGGGGCTGAGGTGGTCTACACTCTCCATCTGTAAAAGTTTCTCTCTGGGCCCAGCTCTATTTCAAATTACTGGATCCGCCACTGGATATTTTGAAAATTTTGTATGGAAACAAATGCTTAAAATCAATTAAAAGGCTATATGCGCCAGCGCTTCTGGGGGGCTTCGTCCCCTGGTCCCCAACCAAGGCTCATTTTCCATTTCGTCCCCCCCCCCACTTTCAACCACGGATCGACGCCCTTGATTGTGTGGGGATCCACACAAGAAGAACATGACCAACGACTAAAGCAAGTGCTAGACACAGCACAAAGAGCCAACCTGAAACTTAACAGGCAAAAGTGCAAATTCGGAATGAACAAACTTGTTTTCTTAGGTGACCTGATTACTGATGAAGGTATTAGACCAGATCCTAGTAAAGTAAGAGCCATCGTCAACATGGAAAGACCAAAGGATAAGCAAGCTCTTCAAAGATTTCTGGGAATGGCCAACTTTCTGGCCAAATTTATGCCTGAATTGTTAGCCAAGACGGAACCACTACGTCAGCTCCTAGTTGACAAGAATCACTGGGTATGGTTGGAGGCCCAAGAAAAAGCTTGGATGAATGTCAAGTCGACCCTGACAACCAGCCCAGTGTTAAAATTTTATGATCTGACTCAGACATGCAAAGTGTCAGCTGATGCATCCAAGGATGGAATTGGGGCAGTTCTGCTGAAACAACAGACCAATCAGGAATGGGCACCCATGGCATATGCGTCATGTTCAATGACAAGTGCTGAGACACACTATGCCCAAATTGAAAAGGAGTGTTTGGCGCTGACATTTGCGTGTGAACGTTTTCACCAGTTCCTGTTTGGCCAGAAAGTACTGGCAGAAACGGATCACAAGCCTCTTAATCTCCATCTTCAAAAAACCACTGTCAGATAGTCCACTCAGACTTCAGCGAATGCGTATCGGACTACAAAAATATGATGTCAGCCTAACATATACCCCAGGTAAAGAATGATGCGCTGTCAAGAGCTGTTGACAAAACCACAGTAGCTGAAGAAGATCAACGCTTAGAAGATGATGTTGAGGCATACATCAAAGAATGGTAATTACATTGCTACCAGTGGTGCAATCTCAGATGCAGAATATAAAAGCTGCAACCATAGAGAAAATAGAACAGAAGGAGTAACATCGAGCGAAGATCAAAGGTACAGACCTCCTCGCCGCGATCGTAATTATCTCACCGTTACGTAACCTACTTGACAACAAGATAAGCAGAAATCGGCAAACGCGCATGCGTCGATAACTCTTACAATCATAACATAGCAACGTAT